ATGAAATGAAAATTATGCATGTAAGTATAGAAGTACGTAGTACTTGTGATTTATGACGAGATATACAATGCCAGTGCGAAATTTCTTTTCACATTTTTGTATCTGAACCTTTTTGCACAATTTAAATGAAATTTAAAAATTTTTTAAATTTAATAAATGTAACAATTGAATAAAGAATTATGTAAAAATAAAATTATATAGAAAATAAAATTTACATAAAAGACAAATACATACAAAGTAAAATGAAAATCTTTGAAATATGCGATATGCGTTTATATTTTCTGTTTAAATACAAAATAGATCACAAGCCATATTAATGATAAAATAAATTGATGGCTTATATTGTAGTAATAGCTTTTTAAATTCGGCTTAGCTTAGATAAGAGTTGCAGATTTTAGCTTGAATTTAAGCTTCTGAATCGTACTAACATCTTAAAGCCATATGATAACATAATGGAACTCAAGATAGATAATTCTTTTTGATATAGATAATTCACAATATAATATAAACATGATATGCATTCTTCGCATATTTTTAAGCACAATTAATAAATCTCTTAATTAGAAAATCTTAAATGGGTTAACTTTTAGATCCCATTGTGGCCACCCCATAAAATAGGTAACTGAGTATAAATAAAGTGAGGTCAAACCATTGCTTTGTAAAGTAGCACTTTTCCCTTAATTGCTTGTGAAAACAATCTATTACATTTTTTATTACTTACATTCATATAAAAAAAATTCAAATTATTATATTTTTCTATAGCAACGCATTTACCTTTAGCTTTCTACATTTTTAGAAATTTGGAAAATATAACTTTTAAGTTAACGGGTTACCAGCGGACGTAATACCGTTATACAATGGTTTACCAACGGACATAAAAAACTTATCGGCGGCGAATTTTAAAAGGAAGTACAAGAAACCTAAGTTGGACAAATACAAGCCAATATAGTATATATAAGCATAAATATTGTATATATATATACTTATATATAGATGTTTTTACTATTGTATACACAATACGATCGTTGTGTATACAATAAGTAGGTTATGTGATAGCAACAAATTTTGCATATTGAGCTTTCGGTGGGAATGCACTTCTCCATGGTAGGGAAGTGTTAATAAACTATTTTTAGCAACCTGCCGGTCTTTTGATCTGTTGGTCTGTCGGTCTGTGTGTGCACGCGTGTATCTGAAGTTCGGCTGAAACAATTTTGATGAAATTTTATATGTAAGTTTATTTCGACCACGGCACGGATTGATCACCTTTTGGGATATATCAGACCTCAGAAACTTTACTTTTTAGCGGGCCTGTTTTTCCTAACTTTTGGAAGAGATCTGGTGTCAGCAACTAGACGTTTACTACGGGCCAAATCTACATTTTTGCATATATAAAGAAAAATAATCACCGATTTCATTGAAATTTAAAATTTAAATTCTTTGTACTAAAACAATAAACACATAAATTTTTTGGAAAGATCAGGGCTCGAAAATTGATCTGCGGGCCGATTTTATATTTTTCACCATATCTACGGAGCGGACTGATAGAATTTCTTGAAATTTGATATTTGAGTTCTGGTTGTTACCGAAACTGGCGAGCATTTCAGGGAATTCGGATAGCACAAAGCGAAACTCTACTATGAACCAAATTTATTCATTTTGCAAGGTATGTTAACTATGAGCTTACTAATGTTCTAAAAATTGGAAAGAATTAATATCTCATTGAATTACTAGTTGATATTGGTTTTTTTGTTTTTATCTTTTCTTGTCTTAACTCATGTGTTTCTTTTGCTAAATTTTTGTAATATTGCAAAAAAAAACAGGTACATTGGAAAAGGAATTATTAATACAATTGTACCTTTTTGTTACACTCTACATCAACCAAATGGACTTATTTGAGATAAATGAAATAAATAAAATAAACAAATAAATAAATAAGTTTTTAGTAAAGATATATCTATATATAAAATTTCAGTTTTCTCTCTTAAAAAGGGAGTAGCATACGGATAGACGAACGGACGGGTGGGCAGAGAGAAATCAATCCAATTTTTTTGGTAAAATCCAAAAAAAAATATGTTAAATTTAGTTTTGATTTCAATATTTTTAAAATGTTTGGCGGTTGAAATAAAAAAAATTTTAATATTTTAATTTATTATTTATCAAAATAACATACTGCTTGAAAAATAAATAAAAATACATTTCAATAAAATATTTTTTGAGTTTAATAACCGATTTTCTTGCGAGAACTGGACTTTCTTGCGTGCTAATTTTAGATTTTTACCCATATAAAGAAAAATAATCAACCAATTTCCTTGAAATTTAATATTTAAATTTTTTGTATTAAAACAATGAACATGTAAATTTTTTGGAAAGATCAGGGCTCGGAAACTGATCTGAGAGCTGATTGTACATTTTTTACCATATCTTCGGAACGAATTGTTGGAATTTCTTGAAATTTGATATTTGAGCTCTGGTTGTTACCGAAACTAGCTGGCGAACTTTTCAGGGCATTCGGATGTTACAAAGCAAAACTCTATTATGAGCCAAATTTACAAAAAAGCTTATCAACACCCTAAAAAGTGGAAAAAAATGTTTAAGAGGCATTTTTATAATCTTCTCTAACACTTTCTCTTAACTAGACTATACACATTGCGGTCGTTTATGAGCTGATCACATCAGTTTTTTTTTATATGATTTTCATTATAAATAGCATGTATTATGTATGTTTATATGTATACACGGACATATATTTTTTTTTTCAAATCATGTATTCCATTATTCAATAAAATGTTTCTTCATGCTCAATTTGAGCATGACCTCCTCAATTCCTGTTTTCTTCTTATATCATCTCATCATTCCGATCATTATTTGTGCCATCTTTTCGTTCTATTTTTACAAAAAGAAAAGAAAGACTTTTGTTGCTAAAATATACATGTATGTATATGTTTATTGATATACTCTATATTGATCTCTTTTAAAATGAAAACCGCGTCATTATTTGAAGCAGAGGCGTCCAAACATTTCTAGTAAGACCCTATTTTCTATGTAATAGATAATAGGCTCTTTCTGGTAATGTCATTACCAGAATAAACTTTCATGTACACTTATATACATACATTACATACCCTTATATTAATATTTTTTCTATTCTTTATTAACTTTTATTTTATAAATTTATATATACCTTATACATATGTGTTAATAAAAGAAAATTCAAATCTCATTTCTTATTTCAAGAATTTTTTTAAATAAAATTTTGGCCCGTGAACCGTATTTTATACTACTTATTATGATTATATGATTATATGATTTATACATGTAACTTTATTTTTTAATTTAAGGAGAAGCATACAGAAGATACACCTACACACATACATATGTATATGTACGTTTATCTATGACTATATTTATGCAAGGGGAAAATTAAGGGATAAAACAGAATAACAATTCAAAAAACGTTCAAAATTAATTTATTTTTCTGTATTATATAAAATTCTTTTATAATATTATATAAAACTCTACAAGATGTCGCAATTCTATCTTTTATAAAGTTTTTTCTGTAAGAAAACTTTTTGATTGACTTTTATAGTTTGGTTACGATGTTATATTACTATTTCTACTTATCTACATACTAATTATCGTATCATGCAGGAGATTGCGTTTTTGATATATTATTGAAATACTGTTTGCACGACGTATTGGTTGTGCACAGAAGACATTGAAAATTCTTAAAACGTTTTATTTGGAAAACAATAGTTTTTTCTAAGCAAAATTAAAGTTTAAAAACAATAATGTAAAATAGTAAATTTTTTACAAAATAGTCAGGGTTCGGAATGCCAATGTTATTATAGTAACATATTATTATTATAGTATTTAAATGGCGACAGTATTATTATATATGCCCCCGCGTGTATTTAAGTGTGGAACTATGTGGAACAAATAATACAGATCATTTTCTTTGTTTTCGTCCTTTAAAAAAATACATCCAATTTTTAAAATAATTTTATTTTGTTCTTAAATATTTCGAACTTCAAAAGAAGAAGAAGAATTTAATAAGCTTGTAAATAAGTGTATCACTTAGAATAGCCAACTTTGAAGTTCAATAACTAAAGAAGGGGGACGGAAAAGAAAAATATCGCCTGTTATTTCTTCTTTGTCTAGAATCATTTTATCTTCCAGTTGCGGCTGTACCAGCGAGTTCCCTATACCCTGTATATATATTCGTGATTATCTGCATGTGGGTAAATGTGACTACTTTTTAATAAATTCTGATAATTTAAATTTTTTTTTTGCTTTTTCATTGACAAAATATTCACTATGCACTAAAACTACAAAAAAGCTTATTTAATAGAAATTAGTAAAGCAATTTTACACTTTTGATCATAAATCATTAAATTTTCTTATTTTAATTTCTTTAAATGCAATTATCATAATTTTGCGAAAAGATTTTTCCAGATCCTTATAAAAATATCTATTTTTTTTTTTGTTCGCTATTTATATTACAAAAATTATTAGGGAGGAAATAATACTGTGTAGCTCACAGCTTCCAATTATTTTTTTGTATAACCATTAAAATATTAAGGCGGGTAACTAACTGTTTGTTCGCGTTTTTCTTTTTTTTTTGTTCCCATACATTAACTTTGGGTACTTGTATTACTATTCACACTTTAAAAAGTAAAAGATAATATTTCATAGGCATTTAAAAAAAACACTTAATAACTTCAACATAATCTGTGAAGTTATTTGGATATATAAAAACGCGTATGGCAATATTTCAGCATTAAAAAACGTTAAGGATGTCGAAGGAATATTTACCACCCGCCGCTTTGTAAAGATAGTAAGAATTATATTAAACGATGTGTTTTCTCTTGTATTAGAATCTTTTTTATTAATGTATGGAACAAGAATATTTTTTTATAATAAAGTAACATCTAGAAGAAACAATTACTCTTTTTGCATATAATTTTAAATTTAATAATCAAATTATGTATTGAAATTTTTAGCGAATAATGGATTCGGCTGAACAAGCCGCTTTATCAGAATTGGATTCGCAAACATCATCGTCGTCAACACAAAAAGTTACTCATTACGATGCTCGTCGGATAAATGAATACAATTCAGATGGAAAACTAGCCGATGGAGCAAAACATTTAGATATACGTTATATGAGACGATTTGAACGTTTACCAGTTAACCTAAGTATCAGCTCAATTTTAGTGCCCAATAATGTGGATTTAAGTGATGCAGATATTAAAGCAGCGCTGCAATGGAGTTCTCACTTAGATCCACTGTTTCAAAACAATTTGGAGAGAGATCCCGCGTTATCATGGCAGTATTTTGGATCGAGCTTAGGATTTTTAAGAAGATTTCCTGCAACCGCGTGGCCTCCAGAAGGTTCAAAAGGTAGCAAACAAATACACGATTTCCGAACACACAATTGGTTTGTACAGGCAGCTTCTTCGCCAAAGGATATAGTAAATTACTCTGAAATTATGCTTTTATAATAATAATTGAATTTTGTTTTTGCAAAACAGATGATTCTTTTGGACTCCTCATCCTCAATGTCGGAAAAGTCTTTTGAGTTGGCGACAACTACTGCTTTTAATATATTGGACACATTAGGCGAAAATGATTTTGTTAATTTAGTTTCATTTTCCGATACAATTAATACTCCCGTTCCATGTTATAGAGACAAAATGATTCGGGCTACCCCGGAAAATACGAAGGAAATAAAATCAGCTGTAAAAGCTGTAACTTTAGGCGGCACTGCAAATTTTACAGCTTCTTTAGAGTATGCATTTCAATTGCTACATAAGGTAATATTCAATTTGTTGAACAAATGTGTAATGTATTGTTAAAATAATGTTTTTTCTGCTAGTACAATGTTACAGGAGAAGGAAGCCAATGTAATCAGGCTATAATGTTGATTACAGAAAGTATGTCAAATCCAGAAACAGATATCATTAAACAATATAATTGGCCACATATGCCTGTCAGAATATTTACATACCTCGTTAATGGAGACTCGGGCTCTAAGAGCACACTACATGAAATAGCTTGCTCTAATAAAGGATTTTTCGCCCGCATAACCAATGTTGAAGAAGCCCGTGAGCGGGTAATTGATTATGCGCTTGTAATGGCAAGGCCAATGATAATGTATCTTAATGATCATCCTGTTCATTGGTCTCCAGCTTTTGTAGCTGGAAAAACTGGAAGTTTGGCAAGAGACAGTGAGACAAAACGTCGTCTTGTAACGACAGTTTCAACTCCAATTTTCGATAGACGAAACCATTCGGTTCGTGTAGCCAATTTATTGGGAGTTGTTGGGACAGACGTTCCAATTGAAGAGATAATTAAAGTTATTCCGCAACATAAATTGGGACCGAATGGTTATTCATTTATCGTTGATAATAATGGCCGAGTGTTGTATCATCCTGACTTAAGACCATTAAGTGATAACAGCCAATATGTAAAGGAATTGAAACCCAAATACATATCAACTGACATAATGGAGTTGGAACTGCCTGAAACAGAATTTGGTAATGAACAACATGAACAATATGAGGAGAACAAAGCTCTTCTGGCTGAAGTAAGTATATTAAATATTCTGTACTATTCTTAAACACGTTTTTGCTTAAATTCTTTTAAAAATGGTTTGGTAATTCAACTTCACAAAGTTTAGAAAATTAAGAAGCTAAATATGCATGTATATTCATATAGTGGTGAAGAAAGCTGTTCAAATAATTTAAAAATTGTTAATATTTCATTTTTTCTTTTTTCTCTTTAACAAAATTGATTTTAGTATATGACACAATTTTTATTATAATATTTATCTGAAATTTAAGAAAATAAAAGTTAACTATTTATTAAAAAGAATAATAAACAACAGTTAAAATCCTTTCAAACAGATTTTGAATCACAGGCATGTTTTCAAACATATTTTGAATCACTACATAATTAATGTTTTGCCATTTTCCCGAAAATATTCCTTACAGCTTTTTTTTTTATTTTTTTTGGTTTTGGAGAGGCTCTGTATACAACTTCACTTTTGCTCGCAGTAATTTATACAATTCTATTTTTATTGACCGTATTGTGTATACAATTGGTAGGATATGTGATGGCAACAAATTTGCATATCGAGTTTTCGATGGGAATACACTTCTCCATAGTAGGGAAGTGTAAAAAAACTTTTTTTAGCAACCTGTCGGTCTGTCTTTCTGTGTGTGCACGTGTGTATCTCAAGTTCGGCTGAACCAATTTTGATGAAATTTTATGTGTAAGTTTATTTCGACTGTGGCACGGATTGATCAACTTTTGGGATATATCAGGTCTCGGGAACTGCACTTTTTAGCGGGCCTGTTATTTATTGTTTAAAGAAAATATTCAACCGATTTACTTGAAATTTCATACATAAGCTTCGCTCGACCGTCCGCGAAATCCAAAATTAACCACATCTGTACCAAAAAGCAAAAAATGCATCACGTTATTTTAGATACATTATTCTCAAATCGGGGGTTTTTAGTGAGAAGTGAAGCATCGGAGCACAAGTAAACAAAAGGAAGCCACAATTATGGTTTAAAAATTGAGAGTAAAAAGAAATAATTTAAAATAAAAAAAATCTGATGTGACCAGCACATAACCGACCGCAATGTGTATTATCTAGGTAAGTGAAAGTGTTACAGAATGTTATAAAAATGTCTGTTAAATACTTCTTTCCAATTTTTAGGACATTAGTAAGCTTATAGTTAACATACCTAGAAAAATGTCAATTTGGATCCTAAAAGAGTTTCGTTTTGTGCTACCCAAATTCCCTGAAATGTTCGCCAGTTAGTTTCGGTAACAACCAGAGCTCAAATATCAAATTTCTGTAGATAGTTCAGTTTTCGAGCCCTGATCTTTTCAAAAAATTTATATGTTCACTTTTTTAATACGAAGAATTTAAATATTAAATTTCAATTAAAGCGGTTGGTTATTTCTCTTTATATACGCAAAAATGTATATTTGGTCCGTAGTAAACGTCCAGTTGCTGACACCTGATTTCTTTCAAAAGCTTGGGAGGTTTCGCGGACGCTCGAACTGAGCTTATGTATGAAATTTCAAGTAAATCGGTTGAATATTTTCTTCAAAATGTTCAAAAATGTAAAACAGGCCCGTTAAAAAGTGCAGTTCCCGAGACCTGATATATCCCAAAAGTTGATCAATCTGTGCCATGGTGGAAATAAACCTACATATAAAATTTCATCAAAATCGGTTCAGCCGAACTTGAGATACACGCGTGCACACACAGACCGAAACACCGACAGACCGACATACCGACAGACCGCCAGACCGACAGGTTGCTTAAAATAGTTTATTTACATTTCCCTTCTATGGAGAAGTGCGTTTCCACCGAAAAATCGATATACAATATTTGTTTCAAGCACATCCAAGGTAGGGAAGCGCAAATAAACTAGTTTTAGAGAGATGTCGGTCTGTCGGTTTTCCTGTCTGTGTGTACCCGCGTATCTTAAGATCGGCAGAATCGATTTTTATATGTAAGTTTATTTCGAATATGACACGGATTGATCAACTTTTGGGATATATCAAACCTCGGGAACTAGACTTTTTGCGGGCCGATTTTACATTTTTGCTCATACAAAGAGAAATAATCAACCAGTTTCCTTGAAATTTATAATTTACATTCAGAATGAACCTGCAAATTTCTTGGAAACATCAGGGCTCGAAAACCGAACTCGGGGATGATTTTACATTTGTTACTATATGTATGGAACAGATTGGTGGAATTTGTTGAAATTTGATATTTGAGTTCTGTTTCGTACCGAAACTAACTGATACACTTTTCAGAAAGTCCGGTATTTTTTATTTTCAACAAGCTGTAGCGTCCGCCCCCCCCCCCCTTAGCCACGCTTCCCCCCCTAGCCTGGCCCCCTCACACGCATAAAAATTTTGCACGCGAACGCATCTTAAAACTTCCACGCAAGAAAAATATTTTAATTTTCGGGGGACACGTATAAATGCATTGCTGTTTATATGGATATGGAACAATATAGCATAAACATACTGACTTTCTAAACGCGGTCTATGTATTAAGGCCATGGGTATGGATTATTTCAGCATTAGAAATTTTTTTTCGGAAAAATGTTGAGCATTTTGCCATCGGTTTTGGATATGGAGCAAAATGCATTAAAATTTAGTAAAAATTACGGATATAAATCAAAGTTACAACTGTATAATTAACCAAAAAAAATAGGGAAAAACGGATTACATATTATGAAAGGGCGTTTTTTAAAACCTAAGAAAGCATTGTTAACTCCAAGCATTGGACTGACGAAGTATTCAACAATGACAAGCCCAAAGGGAAATGTTTTTGTACCCTGCACTTCGTGAAGGGTATATTAACTTTGGTATGGAATTTGTAACTACTTGAAGGAGTCATCTGCGGTATGGACATATATATATATATATTCTTGCTCAGCGTAAATTTCTGCGTCGATTTAGACATGTCCGTCCGTCCGTCTGATCGCACGATAACTCAAAAACGAATAATGCAATCGACACCAAACTTTCACAAGTTTTTTCTTTTGTGCCAAGGACAAACCCTATTGTTATTGGACTAATTCGGACAACGGGTTCGGGTAGCTGCAATACAACTCAAAGAGTTTATTTCAAATATTTCAAAAACTAATAAAGCTATAAATATAAAATATTGTACAAATGTGTCCAATTATATTCCAAAACATGATCTAAAAATTATAATGGGATAGCTGCACCGGTTCGGGTGGCTGCCATACAACTCCAGCAGCAAATTTTTTATATTCGGCAAAATAATAAAGTCAGATTCATGAAACTTGGCAGTCATGTGTCCAATTATAGGCCAAATATATTTCTGAAGTTTTAGAGGAATTGCTTGACAGGTTAAGGTACCTGCCATACAACTTCAGAAGCTAATTTTAAATATTTGGAAAAATAATAAAGCCAGATTCATGAAATTTGGCAGTTGTGTGTCGAGTTATAGGTTAGATATATTTGTGAAGTTTTGGTTGAATTGCTTGACAGGTTCGAGTAGCTCCCATACAAGTCTTAAAGCTTATTTTAAATATTTGGAAAAAAAATAAAGTCAGATTCATGAGACTTGGCAGTCGTATGTCCAATTATAGGTCAGACATATTTCTTAAGTTTTGGTGGGATTGCTTGACAGGTTCGAGTAGCTCCCATACAAGTCTAAAAGCTTTTTCTTGATATTTGGAAAAATAATAAAGTCAGATTCATGAAACTTGGCAGTCGGATGTCCAATTATAGGTCAGACATATCCGTGAAGTTTCTATAGAATGACTTCACAGGTTCGAGTAATTGCTACACAATAACGAAAGGTGCAGGGTATAATTCAATCGGTTTCTACCGACTGAAGCGTTTTTACTTGTTTATTTTCAAATTTATTATGTTACTAATAAATTTTTATTTTTAAATTTATTATTACTAATTAAAATTTTATTTACAATTTTTTTAAACATACTGTGACATCGAAATCATCCCAGAACAAAGTTTTATTATAATTTATATACCGCACTAATACAGATTAATGTTACCTAATGTTGTAAAAAAAATAAAAAGTATATGTATTATTACTTATAATAATAAATTACAAAGTATATGATTTATGATCACTATTTTATAAAAAAAAATTGAAATTTGAAATTTATGAAATTTCCCTATTTTATGCAACTCCGCACAATGTAAGACTTTTTAAAGTTTAATACCGCGTTGTCATTGCATCATTTTACGCTACTACCATTCTGTAATTATATTATTTTATTAACTGTGTTGTTATTTTTAAAATTAATAATTGCAGATGCGAAATGAGATTGTAACACCTAAAGAAGGTGAATCAGATATTACAGTCTTGACACATTATGATAATATGAAGAGAGTTTCTTCCAGAACACAACGGTAAAATAACATACGTACATATATTTAAAAATGAAAATAACAGGAAACTTTGAACTTCATTTATAGATATTTTTATGGCCCAATCGAAAATACACCATTCACTCTAGCTCTTGTTTTACCAGAGAGATATGGTAATCATGAGGTGGTAGCTCAGCAAGAAATTAGACATTCTAGAACAAATGGTAAATACTCAAATAAAAATATTTATTGTCGTACTTTTTATTATTTTTATGCTTTTCATTTAGTTACTGAGTTTTTCTCTGGTGAAAAATGGCGTATTAATCCAGATTGGGTGTATTGTGAATATAATACAGTTGGAGATCTTGAGAAAGAGCGTGAAAGTTCAGCCGAAGTATCACGTGAGCAAGAACCTAATTTCGCAACGCCAGAAGAACAAGTTTTACATTTTTTAGCCCGTGCTGGCAGGCCCGGTTGGAAATGGATGTCGGTAAGGTGTTCTTCATAAACAAAATGAATTAAAAAATTCTAACTTTTGAAACGTGTGTAAATAATTTTTTTTAATTTATTAAGGTACGGCCAAAACCACCGCAATCGCACGTACCTACCCATTCACAAAGCCATTACGGTGCGTTTTTAAATAGTGGACAAAATCCACGAAAAGCCGAACCATATTTTTGCGATAGATTGCTAATTCAAAGCTTAGTGCGGGATGCAATGGTTACTTCAAATTTGGATCAACCTTTAAATTCTCCACAAAAAGAAGATAAACAGTAAGTACCAACATTAAAAGAAATTTTCTGACAAATTATTCCTGGGAACGAATTAAATTTTGCTTGAAATTTATTCTTCCAAAGGAAATAGATATGTATTTGTCAAGTACTGAAATTTCAATAAAATAAATGATAAAATTTTATTATATATACATATAAGAACATAATTTAGCCTTATTATACAACAGCACTTTTCTTTTTTTCTTCACCCTTTTGCCTGCTGCCACTAAATATGTTTTTATATTTACAATAATTTTTCTCTGTGTTTATATTTATATCTATACATATATATATTTGTATATACATATATATATGCATACATGTTTTTATATATTTATATTCATATTTTTTCAAATAATGTTTTTATATTAAAAATAGCCCAATCGCCACATTAATGGCGTTATTGCACAGGTAAAATTTTGAATTTTAATTCTTCTAAAATGTAAATTTAAGCTAACGTAGTATACACTTTGGATGGTTAAGTATGGTGAACAAGCTTTTCAATTCTTATGTCTTTTAAAATCACGTCCAAATTGAAACTTCATCTTATTAGATATATGAACTGTAAAATTTATGAAGTATGTTCGAGGATATTGATGTGGCTTATATAACTTGTATATGTAATAGTAGTTCAATTAAAACTAAATAATAAAATGAGCATATGATTTAGTTATAGTTAGGAAACATGAGTTAGACGTTAAACTGAAATTACCAAAAAATACTCAGTTAAAATTTGAGATTAGTACTTCATTTTGAATAAAGCCAAAAGAAAAAATAAGAGCTCCAGAAATAGCTCATTTTATATTGCTACTTTTGTTTTTCGAAATCCTTATTCGACTGATAATATAATACAATATACAAAATTCATTACCAAGATTAAGTTTCAATTATGGAAATGAAAATATCCAAGTAATGTGACAACCATAAAAAGTATTTTATCCATTTAATATTAAAATTTATTTTTTAGTTTTTGTTTTTAATTTTGGTTGGTTGTAGACTAAAATGCACTGTTTAAAGGAAAAGGCACATTTTTATTGGTTTATTGGCTAATAAAAACGAATTAACGTTTAATTTTTAATTAAAGCAGAAGCGCTAAAGTTGCTATGAGATATTAATTGGAATTTTATACAAGAAAAATTAATATTTCGAAATATTTTATTGCAGACAAGGATATAAAATGTTTTCGGTTGTCACCACATTTGTTGCAACAAGATCAGGTTTACTGAGGTGGAATGATCATTTCAATCGATCTGAAGATGCTCCAGAAATGTAAAACTCCCTTTTTAAATGAAAAAAGTAACTTTTGTAAATTATCCCTTTATAGACATTTTAGTGAAAACAATGCTCGTGCTATAGACACAAGTTGGTATCGTCGCGCAGTAGATCAACATCTTATAGAACCAGATAGTTTCGTTTACAGTGTACCATTTGAGTCTGGATATACTGACAAATCAAACCGAACTCTAGTGACTGCCTCACACGCTATATTTTTAGATCATAGAGGTCACAAAGCACCAGTAGCAGTAGTCGGCCTTCAATTTCATCACGATTCTTTAGCAAGACATTTTATCAATATAACTTCAAAGGTAGAATTATATAAACAAACCAATTTTTTATGTATTTTGTGTCGTTTTTTGAACAGTGTACCGGTAATGGGCAATCATGTGGAAAAACCTGTGCTTCAGATGAGCTTGATTGTTATGTTTTAGACAATAACGGTTTTGTAATATTATCTGAAAATAATGAACATACTGGAAAATTTTTTGGTCAAATCGATGGAACAATAATGGACTCCTTAGTTCAAGATCGGATTTATAAACGTGTAACTGTAATGGATTATCAGGGAGTATGTTCAGATGCCGATAATCCTTATACTGCGGCTGGAGAACTAATAGTTCCCTTTAAGCCATTTTCATGGTTAGCTAAATATATACTGTCGTTGTGTTTCACATGGTTATCATTTCTGCCTCAGCCGTTAAAAGCGTGGCAACAAGATGATTATACATATCATGAAATTGACGCTGATCTATTTGATGAGACCACTTATACTGACGAATACGAAAATTTCGACGATTATAGTCCGAATGAAGAAGATGAGTTTGAAACATACACAACACCGGAATTCGTAAAATTTATTCAAAAATATCAAAGGATTATTTTTTAATCTTCTATTTTAAGCAGGAAACAACTACAGTCCCACCCAAAATACAGAAACCAACTACTGGAGCAAGATCGCCACCAGATCCAAAAAATGCCCGAAAGTGCGATATGAAAACAGATTTGTATGTGTTGCAACCAGACAGACTGAATCAAAGCGGGCAAAATAATCCACTGAAGGTGAAAAATTTCAATAGCAAATAAAATTTAAAATTTCAAAATAAAATATTTTATAGGGTAAATTAACAAACTGTCACTCTTCTGGATGCGAACGTCCTTTCAGTGTTCAAAAAATTCCACATAGCAACCTCATTTTGTTAGTAGTAGATACTTTATGTCCTTGCGGTTCGAAACAGTTGGATATTGAACCGATTGAAACACCCGGAGGAATAGGTAATTTCATTTTGATTATACATTTGAAATACATTTGAATATATTTAAATATATTTCAAAAATTTTTCGGTGTTTTATGTTTAGCAGTTTTCCATAGTATGTACTAGATAGTGATAAAAAGTTAAGCAATTTATAAAGAAAAGAAGTGTATGATATTTTATGAATTATTATTACCGATACGTGTATGTACACACATATTTACAGGAAATATGTGTGCTAAATTTATAGGGACAGGATTGAAATAAAAATAAAAAATTCATAAATTATGTGAAGCAATAACAATTACAAATTTAAATTTTTTTTCAATATTATTTGCCTTTTTATAATTCATTTTTATTATTTTTTAAAATTATATTATACATATAAATTATAACTTCGCTTTTATCGCTTTTAATCGCTTCACTTTTATAACGTGGATATACCATTCTTGCCACCTTGTAGTGGAATAAATTACAGAAATAAAAGCACTGTCTTTAAAATTTTTTATATTTTTCCCATACTTTATATACAAAAACAAAAATCGGCATTTAAAAATACATTATAAAAAATTGGCAGGCATCTATTGCGTATTGGTGAGTGATTACGTTACTGTTATGTAAACGAAAAGTTAAACTACTTTTTAAATTTAGATTTAGATCATTAATCTTTGATTAATACTCTTATTCGAAAGTATCCCAATTTTCTTGTACAAGTATTTTTTGATGTGTTGTTCTGTACGGCGATATAATTATAATATCCGGTTTTGTCACATCCAGCCGCTAGTTTAACTTTTTTGCAGATTGTTGTACTCGTATGTTGTTCTCGCGCTGGATTTCCATCTGCCAATAATTTTTTATTGTCCCATATAATTTTGGTGCAACTATTACGGAAAATAATTTAAGTGTATAGAGGATTGCTTTTTAAAAAAAATATTTTCACTTGTTCAAGAGGAAAGTAGAATTTTACAAATTAGGATTTGTTCCGAATATATTTGTTTGTTAATTTCTTTTACCTTTATTAATTCATATTTGACTTTAAATTAGTTCATATTTAGTTATAGCAAAATGTGATCGAATCAATTTTGTAAATATAATTTTAGGAGCGTGCAGCACTCGCCGACAAACATTAGAAAAAGAAAAACGAATGCGGCCAAAAACTTGTATAAACTATCATCCGGAAGAAATAGAAATTCAACAGTGTGGTCGTGGATCATCTACATTTAATACACAATCGATCATATTATCACATTTATTGATGTTTGCTGTTACAAATACTTTGGCAAATGCGTGATATTAAAATATAATATTTTTTCTAATTTACCAAAAAATATATGTACTAAAACAATTTTTGTTATTGGTTATTGTTTCTAAAGTTAACTGGTTTGTTTTAAATTTAGTTAACCAGATTCATTATAAAAATTAGATTTAATAAAAAATGAAAAAAACATTTTTTTTTATATAGTTTTGGGTGGAGGCGAAATAAAACTGATTGTTAAAAAAAAATAAAAAAAAACACAAAAACAAAAATCATATGCATTAACAAATATACAAATTATTTACAAAGTATGTACATATATATGAAAACACACGGAAGAGTAAATTTACAGGTCGAATAAATGTAGATAATTACCTAATAAACCACAGCATCAAGTATAAAAACAAACCTACAGAACTCAGCGTTTATTACCAAAGATTAAGGTTTAATGTGAAGCAATATAATAATAAAGAAACAAAAATGTGAATTTAATTTAGAACTGAACTTGTTACAATTTTTTACATATGAATTTGAGAATACTGAGTTTATATATTTTATTTAAATAAAATCATTCTGAATAAAATTAAAAATATAAATTCTGAATAAAACCCATCAACTTTGTGCAAAGAAAAGAAATCTTGTGTAATTTATATATATATATTTATATATATATATATATATATATATATATATATATATATATATATATATATATGTGTAGATAAATGTATTCACACAACAATAAAAATATATGTATTTAAAAAAAATGATAACCTTGAATTTGGTGGAACAAAAGTAGCGTTTAGAAAAAAAACCGACACATAAATTATAAATTAACACACACCAATTATTTCGAAACAAATGGATCTTTATCTTGCATTTTATGCATATAAATATACCAAAACCAAAAAAAAGAATAAAAGAAGAAAAAAAACACAATTTATAGAATGTAAGAAAATTTAACTACAAAGAAAATATTAGAACTTTTTTATATGGAAATTTAAATTAATTTAATAAAATAAAGAAAAACGTATGTAATTAATATAGTTTTAGTAAAAATTGATAATTAATAATATTATTAATTTTGGATTATAAAATATAAGTGTAAATTATGTACTTCTATATTATAAAAAATAACAAAAAAAAAATTATTTTAATTGTTATCAATTTCATAACAAAAAGTGTAACTTATTTGAAAGTGTAATTTTTTATGGTTCATAGTCTTGGGAAATTAACTTTGAATTAAATCATAATAGAGCATAATTCTATATTGTTTTTTGCATTTATTGTTTTGTATTGAAACCTACCACTTTAATTTACGTAACCTTGAAGTTTGTATAGTCTTAATATTAAACATCATATGTACGAATACGAGTATGTATATGCTTCTGAAAAATGCACTACTTAGATATTGAGTTAATATTTTTTTATGTACTTCATTATATCTACTTCTTTCTAGTATGAAAGTACATAAATACACTCCTTTTGTAATTCATAAAATAAAATTCATGAACATTGTAGATAATATGTTCGAAGGTTGAAAAAAAAGTATAACTGATGTAATACTTGTTTGTTAAGAGAAGCTGTCTTATAAAATTTGAAGCATGCTTTTTTAGTAGTTCGTTAGAATCTTATTGATTACGTACTTACAGTTTATCAAAAATGTTAAAGCATAAGATTTTTTGTATTTTGATTGTGCTAAACGAAAGTTTAAAACAGTTCAAGCATAATATAAATGTATGTAATAGTTTGACAAATTATTATATTATTTTACTAAAATCAACTATAAAACATAATGGTAATATTTGTAAGTGTTCATTTGTAATAGATGAAATTTTCTTCTAGGAAGTGCATGCAATTGGTGTTTCTTATAAAATATCCTATAACAAACAATACCCCACGAGAAAACATTACGTACAAAACATTTATTAAAAATCATTTTAACTAAAACAGACATGTACATGTGAAACATAATGTATAATTTATTACAAGGTTTTAATAAAGTGGCTATGGAATCGATACTTTATACTATAATTAAATAATAAACCGAAAAAATATATACATATTTATATAAATATACGTGTACAAACATATATATGTGGTCCTCTTTTTTGAATGCGGAAATTACATTAAAATGGCTAATTTAGTTGCTAGACAATAAAAGAATACAAAATTAAATTTTAGATTAATACTTTAGATTAATTAAGGAATAATAAAAAAAGACTTCAAAATTATTTTATGTTAATCTTTTTTGAGTAAGAAAAAGAAATAAATCATATAGTTAATTAGTTAATATTCAGATTAGAACTATTAAAATCAAATAAAAGTATTAGTAAAAGTAAATGTTATAGATAAAATTTGTAAATAGCAAGATTTAAATATTTAAAAATCTTTATAAAATATGGTGTAAATTTTGAGATTTTTTCTGTTCAAGGAATCTATTCATCCTTTTTATACGATAATCTTTTACAAAAAAATAATATTTAATGAAATTATTCTATTAAATTGTGTTAAAACAATATAAGTATTTAAATTTGTTTAAGAATGCAAAAAAAACGAATTTAATTAATTTATTTAATAGAGCTTTTATTAATTGCTATATAAAACAAAAGCATTTGCTTTCTTCTTAGCAAATTGTTAATTAAGTAAATTAATAAAAAGTTTTCTATATGTACATAAAAAGCGAAAATTTAAGATTAACAAGGGTTTAATCTTTTGTTTTACTTTTATTAATTTTCATTGCTATTTTGAATGCTTTTGTCTGCTTTAATGCGTTTTAATGGTCTTATCATGCTGAAGATGTCTTAAAACAGATAAAACTAGTGGAAATAATCATAAAAACTAACAAAAATGAAATAAAAGATTAACAAGTTTTTAAATAATTTTATTTTTTGAAAACTTTTTATTAATTCATTTAAATAGAAATATTTTAAGAATATGTACAGTTTGAAAATTTAAAAAAATATGCTTATGTAAAAAATTTATCGGTTGCGATTAACGATTTACAAATTTAGTTTTTATATACATATATAATATACATACAGATATTATACAAGTATATTAGTTTTATTAACCTTTTCTTTGTAAAAGATTATCAACTGATGAAATTCATAACCAACTGAATTTAGCTTTTGAATTACCAATCTCGAAAATTTAAAATTTTGCATATTTCCTTTGACTTTATTTTATTTCTATTTCCTATTAATAATTTTATTTACAAGTTTTCTTCAATTAAACAATATCAGTTCGTTTGTGTATAAATTTAAATAACGTTTTCCATTATAAAAGCATCATTGTAATATGAAAGTTTTCCAATTAGAAAATATCACTGTAGTTGAAAAATGAAACACATGAATTTAAAAATTTAAAATCATCTCTTAGTAAAATCATTTTTTGCTTTATATTATAATTATTGATTTCATTAGAACTGTTGTAATTTCAAAGTCAAAGCAAAATCGTATCTGTACAGTTTTTGAAAACGCACAATTTTCCTAAAATTCTTTGTACTTTTTAGTTTAAAAAAATCAATCATAAAAAAAGAAAAAAAAAAACAACGTAAGATAGGAAATAAAGTAACACAAACAAATTTTTGAATTGCATAAGTATTTTCGATAAAAATTACAAACATTATAAAACTACTACATATCAGTTTCAGAAAATTTTTTTAGAATTTTATTCCAAAAAATTTAATATTCTTATCCACAGTTTTGATTTTTAAATTTTGTCATAATAATGAATATGTACTTACAATTTTTTTAAGTTAATCAAAATAAAACAACAGATTATTAAGAAATTTACAAACCTTGCTTTTAAAAGATTCTTGCATAAGAAGTTGTTTCATAAAATATATTGTGTCACATATCTCACATTCATATCGCTTGTGTTAAAATAAGCACGAAATTCTGTAGACTTAATCTAATGATAAACAAATTTAGATTGAAATATATATTCATATTTTTTTGTAAATTACAATCAAAAATATATAACATCCATTTTTTTGATGGTAAAATACTCTTAATTTTATGAGATAGCTTTAGTAACAAATCACTAAAGAGCAACAAAGTTATTTTTTAAGATATTTTTAAAAATGTAAAAAAAATTGATTAAATGGTATTGAATGGAAAACAAAATTATAAAATATTGCAAAATTTTAACATTTATAAAAGAATAAATTCATTAAATAATTTAAATTTCTTTTCTTCTTCTAGTCATTTAATTAAAGCTCTAAAATTTCTGTGTCTTATAAAATAATTGTAAAGTCTTCCATTATTCATTAATAAACTGATAAGAAGTTAAATATTTGAAGTGAAAAGAGAAAAAGATAAAAATTAAAACCACAGAAAAGATAGAATTTAAAAATAATTAATTATTGCAATCTACGGTTAAGTTAAATTGGGTGTGTTTTGTTGTGTTTTGAAATATTTTGTCAAACTCAAAGAAAAAGAATACCTTATATTATTAAAATATTCAATAAACTAAAACAAAAATATATCATATTGTTTATGATAATAAGTAACAAGTATATAAAAAATTTACCGAGTTAGTAATTTAATTATGTGTGTATTGTACCTATATTTAAATGGATACAAAATTTGATAACGAAATTGATTGAGTGTGATGCGTGTGAATGAATATAAATAAAACTATAAAAAAATATTAAATACAAACTTCTGCCCATCATTTGCCATATAATTCATTAGGTAAAAAAAGTTGATTTAAATATTTTATTATTTTTGTCAATTTTTTATAATTAATATTGTTCATTTTAAATGTAAAATAAAACACACATTGTACATATGATTTCAAGCAGATAAAGTTATTTTTTGATTTAAATAGTAAAATTTAGGTATTATATGCCGTTTAAGACACATTATATATTACTATATCTGAAGGTGTCAAAAAAAATAAATATTTGTGAAAAAAAAACTATGATTAATATATCTATAATTTTTAACATATCAAAACATAGTTTCTTACTATCATTTGTAAAATCATATTAATGGTAAAATAATCGAAGATTTATTTGAGCATATGTGTTCAGAAATCCTTTCAATATCCTTTCGATATCCTGTTTCCTAAACAAAATATTAGGAGTTTTCACAGTTAGGGCAAAAAAAAAGAACTAAAATTAGATTTCAATCCAGTTAATAGACGGGCAATATAAAATTTTCTATTGGTCGGTTAATTGCAATAAATTGACAACCGTTTGTTTCGTAGTTCGGAAATAGCTATCCTGAAAAATTTATTTGGAAATCCTGAAAAAGTTACTGAAAAAGAAATACTGGAAAGCAATTATTGTTATTATTATTACATTTATTATTACCATTTCTACTTTCTTTTTTTTTTTAAACAATTAAAAAACAACAAACAATAAAAATTTTTTTAAGTCAATTTTTTTATTATATATTAAAAAATTTTTCATTATTTCAAAAATATTGCATTAAAAAATTTTTGAAAGCATTAGTTTTACAAAAAATTCTTCATTGAAAATGTTGATAATTTTTCCGAAATATAGAAATTTTTTAGGTGTATGAAAATTTTTTGTGGTGTATTTCTTTTCCTTTGATTTTGTTCTGGAAATCAGCTTTGATAGTGCCTATGTAGCGCACGAAATATATTAGAATAAATTAAAGTATTTTATTTCGAACAAAAGAAAGTTTTCTTTTCATAAACTTTAAAAAATTTAGTTCTACAATTCTGATTACGTATTCGACGTATTGTATCAAAGCTTTTACGATGTCAAGGGGCCTTATGTATACATATCTTATCTTATACTTATGTATGCATTTTGTACTTAACATTTTTTTAGGATATCAAGGGGAGACAGAAATACTTTTTTTATAGTTTGTCCAAATATTGTCTGCTTTTAAATTTAAATTTTCATTAAATATTGAAAGAATCCTAAATATTAATTTCCATCAATTTTGAAAGGATTTGTAAATAGAGTTTTCAATAAAAAGAAGTTAACAAGGAAAATTAAACAGCGGCAAGATATTCAGTTAAATATGAATTTCGCCAAGGCCACCGTCATATAACATTTAAACATGCGCCATGATTTAAACATTAATTAAAAAGGAGTAGAATTTCTATTTAAAATTCGTTATATTTTCATTCTAATTTACTTAAATTAATTTTCATTACTTTAGTTAAAATCTTTAAGCACGTTAAATATTAAGTGCTCCAACTTATTATCATTTATTGAAACATAGCAATTTGCTTTCATTTGCTGCAATTTTTTCATTTAAAAAAAACATTTGTTTTTTTTCTTTAACATTGATTTAAAGTTTCAAATTGAAATTGTTACGAGTATTTGATTTAAATTGTCAATTAATTTAAATAAGTGTTTTTAAAAAAGGTTAATGTTATTTTAAGTTTTGGATCTGAAACTTTTTAACTTCTCTAATTCTACTGTAGTTTCAACATTCTCTTCACTGCAACACAAAATTATAAAACGGCAGCACTGGTTTAAACAATTAGGAAGTATAACAGTGCATTTGCAAAGATAAAATATGGCACCTATGTTTATATGTTTATGTACATGTAACTGATAAATCCCGCAAAAAAAATTTACTAAATTGATTAGTGCCATTTTCGTAAATCATCAATAAAATTTTCTCATCGCTGCACTGAAATGTCCTTTTTAAAAGATGTAAAGAAAATTTAAAGATCAATATAATAAAAATTTTACTTAAAATATTGATCAGAAGTTTGTGCTTTCAATATGTTGATGAATTACAAATAAGATGGAATTAATATAATGAAGTTAATTTAAGTACAAGTTTAAAATTAAATTTCGGATAATTTTATGATGGTAATAATTTAATTCCCAACTCATCCAATCTAAAAATAAATTTCCTTTAAATCCATGTTTATTGATTTGACTGTATTTAAATCCTATTCCAAAAATTTAAAGTTAAGCCGAATTCCGCAATTATTCCTCTGCTAAATCAGCTTTAATAACCGTTATACTGTAATATAGAACAGAAGGTTTGTCATGTTATTAAGAATTTCAGTTGAATGAACGAAATTCCAAAATTGTTAGCAAGTATCCTTCTTCTTTTATAAAAATTAAATAGATGTATAGAACCATAATAATATTGTTACAATAAAAATATCATATAGTTATTAAAAGAACATTTAGCTTAAAGGTATATATTTCAGACCTGTAAATATTTTCAAATATTCCTCAATACATTATTAAAATCAAAAATAATTATGAATTAAATAAACTAACTTTAGATAGCTCATGTTAAATCAATTAAAAAAATAACTTTAAAACTTAAATCTTTTTTCCATTTTGAAACAAAAAAAAAATGCATATACATACATACATATATACAGAAAACCGTATT